TCAGTACCTGGAGCTCAGCACTTACTGGAAGGAAAACACTGACTCCCAAAAGTGTCCTCTGACCTCCACACACACCCTGTACTGTGCCCACATGCACGTAATGAATGAATAGATGAATTAGTGAATCAATGGAATTTTAAAAAAAATTTAAGGAAAATGATTGGGGCTCAGAGATAGGTCCAGCCTGAACTACAAGGCAAATTCTGTCTGAAAAAGAGAAAAAGAAGGGAGGGAACAATTAAGGAAGGAAGGAAAGAAAAGAGATTGAACCAGGCGTTATCCACATGACTGTAATCCTAGTACTTGGGAGTCTGGGGTTGAGTTCAAAACCAGGCTGGGCTGTGTAGTTAGGCTGTCTCAAACAAAACCAAGATAGTAACCAGGCGGCCCTTGGTGTATGACTGAAGATGCTCAGAGTGGGGCAGTTTTAAGGCCATGATTTGATGAGTTCTTGGCATCTTTATCCCAGTCACATGCACTTCAAGCCACAGTGTAAAACACTATCAACCCTAAAAGTCTGTGGGGCCTCGGTCCACCCCGGCCTCCTCTTTGGCCTGTCGTGACTGGTCGTCTACTTTGTCACTGTGGTTTGGGTAGCTTTGTACTCCAGCACTGTAGGAGTTTCAGTGCTGGCCCTGCTTGTGAGATGTGCTGAGCGGATGTTAGCTGTTGCCCTCAGGGCCCAAGGTGGAGATTTCAGTGGAAAGGGTTGTTTTGTGCCATGAGGCTGTGGTTCCTTACACAGTCCCTGGTGACTCCCTGACCCTGGGGCTTTTCCTGAGGCCCAGTAAGTGGCTCCTGTGGATCCCATTTGTTGTCTCATTAGGTGAATTCTGGCCTAGTGAGCTAAGGGGGGGGGGGGGGGGGGGGGTTAGTCACAGGTGTTTAGCTTGCAGCACTAGGGAAGAAAACAAACAAAAACCATTAAGAAGGTTAAGGCACTGGCTCCTCCCCCGATCCTTACACTGATAGTTAATTGATCTTGAGGCGGCTGTGGGGAGCATTGTGTAGCCTGTGCTAGGATGGGTCATAGTCTGCTTTTACTTGCTGTAGTTTCATGGAAGCTGTGAGCCAGCGTGAAAAGCTAAACCAGCCGCTAAGTCTGAAGCCAGGGTTTTGTTTTGTAGGTCTTCTTGGTCTCTAGATTGCAAGAGCGTCACAGCAACCATTGCTAATCCAGGGCTCCTGAAAAAAAATGAACCTTAGTCTTTGAAGGTTTATAAATTACTGACAGCTGGCCACAGTGGCACATGTCTGTAATCACACAGCATTTCAGAGTCTGGGGCAGGAATATTGCTGAAACTTTAGGTTATATAGCAAGACTGTGCTTTATTAGGAAAAAAAAATTATTAACATCCTACTCAAACTGCACATGGAGCAGAGAGAGGTGTTTGGGGGCTTTTCTTCTGAGGTGTCTAGGGAGAAAGTTGATGGGCTTTGTAATGCTTGGGGGAAGTATAAGGATACTTAAAACAGAAGCACCTTTTTACTACTTCTAAATGTGAGACCTGGTGCACAATGTCATCATTCTTAAATTCGTGTTGCAAAGTTAAACATAATCGGAGCAGAAGAATTGCAGAACAATTATGTTGAATGTTTTATCCAAAAAAAAAAAAAAAAAAAGCTACTCATTACTAGTCTCTTGTTTGGTTACAACTGGAGAAACCGAGGTTTACTCAAAGCCTCATTTTACAGATTAGAAAATGATCCCCACAGGAAGAAGGGAACCAAGGATTGGAGTCTCTCCCCAAGCCATTGCGTACTACCATCTAATCAGTTTTCAAGTTCCCCCTCACAGTTGGGAGTTTTCTCTGTCATCAGATTTGGCTCAGGCAAGATTGAGCCTTATTTTTCCTACCTCTACCCAAGGTGATGATTTTCCTGGGAGCATCGCTGTGTATGAACTTCAAGGTGAATGCAGGCATGGTGGCATACACCTTTAAACCCAGCACTTGGGAAGCAGAGGCACTCGGATCTCTGTGAGTTCAAAGCCAGCCTGGTCTATAGAGCGAGTTTCAGGACAGCCAGGGCTATACAGTGAGACGCTGTCTCAAAAAAAAAAAAAAAAAAAAAAAAAGTTAGATGAAAAGGGAGTGTGGCAAAGCGGCTTAGACCTAGGAGGAGTTAGAGAGTCTTGCTGGGACTTTCAGTCTCTGTCCACACCATAGACCACACTGCACAGAAATGCTGTGGAACCATTTTAAATTTTTCATTGGAGGGGTAGATGAGAGAAATCTGAAAAGATAGTCTTCTTAGTTAAATGTATTTAAGGAGTAGTATGCAGTCTGTGTGTGTGTGTGTGTGTGTAAAACATGTCTGCATGTGTGTTTGTATCAGTGCATATGTGTGTCCAGGTGCAGGTCAGTCTCCAGGTGTTATTCCTCAGGAATTGTCCACATTGGTTTTTCACGGCAGGGCCTCTGGTCCTAGAACACATTGATAAGGCTAGGCTGTCTGGCCAATGAGCCCAAGAATCATCCTTGTCTCAGTTTCCCCAGCACTGGGATTACAAGCATGATTCACCATGACCATTGTTTTTGTAGGTTGTGGATTCTGGGAAATTGTACTCAAGTGCTCAGCTTGACTAAGTTACTACTCAAGTCCTTTTAGGGGGCTCTTTAAAAACTATTATTATTAGTGTGCGTGATACAAATTTGTATGGGCACAGATATGGAGTTCATCTGTGGAGTATGTTCTCTCCTCCCACCGTTAGATGGCTTCTTGGTACAAACTTGGGTCATTAGACTTGTGTGTTGGGCTTCTGCAGCCAGTGTTGAGCCATCTCTTTTTTGGAAAAAAAAAAGGTTTCAAGGGACTTGAAACTCTGTTTGGTTCAGACTGGTCTTGAATGTGTGGCAGTCCTTCTGCTCCAGCTTCCCAACTTGTGGGGCCTGCCTGCTGCCTAGCATTGCTCTCAGAGCAAAGGTAGTTTTGTATCTTGACAAAGACTTTGGATTTTGTTTCCAAGGCCTGGGCATTGGGGAGCATGTTGTACTCTGTTTAATAAGTATGGTCCTGACCCACGTGGTACTGGCAGGCTGACTATGAGTCATTAGCTTTCCTTAAGTGTTGCTTTCTCAGGAAGTCTTTTAGAGATGGGTGGTAGAGGCAGGTAGATGTCTGAGTTCAAGGCCAATCTGGCCTACAGAGCGAGTTCGAGGACAGCCAGGGCTATACACAGAGAAACCTTACCACCACCACCACCACCCCACAAACAAAAAAAAGAAACAGAAAGAACTGGAGTGCTGAAGCATAGCAGAGCCCCATCGTTTGAAAAGACGCTGCTGGAATGCTAGAATGAATGCATTCTTTTTCTTTGAGCCTATAACAGCTTGCCTCATGGGGAAGAGAACAGTGGCAGGGGTTAGACTTTGTTGCTGTAGCAAGCTCAAATTGTGTCAGAGAATTTGTGCATTCTTAAGTCCCATTGCCTGTGTAATTTTGGGACCTTTCTCAGGATATATGTCCTGAGGGGCCTGTGGTGGTGATAAGAAAGAAGGTAATGTCAGGTGAGAGATCAGGGCCCTTGGGTCTCTGTTTACATGTAGGAAAGCTTATGGATTTGTCATTGTTGAGTCCACAGGTAGGCTCTCTCTGAAAGGAAGAAATGAACACCAGCAAACAACAGAAAAGAGAAAACATCGACACCAACTTAACCTCTCCAGAAAGATGATACTCATGTAGAAATATAAATTTTGGATGAGAGCACTCTCATGAGACAAGCTAATGTCTCTGTGAATAGTGGAAATACAGGTACTGGCAGGAGTACCTGAGACCTTAGGTCCCAGAGGCAGTTGTGTTGGAACGTCTGCCAGTAGCAGTCTAGGCTGCACTGGGAGCTGTGGCTCTCTGTCTGGACGCTAGCTCAGATGTTTCCTAACCTCCCCACATTCATTTGTAAGAGGGTAGTGTCTGTCTCATAGAAAGTATGGTGAGGGCCAAGTAAGAAGTCCACTAGCAAGCCTGCATCATAGTAGTTGTCTTAACCATGGTGAAGAACAGTGTGCACACCTACAGCAGGCTTTTCCTCTTCACTCCCATTTCCTGGGGAAGTCCTGGAAACAAGTTCTCTACCAGTAAGGGCCCCAGCAGTCACTGAAAGGTGGTGTAGTAGAGCCAGGTGAGGATGCCTGCACCTGTAAGTTACAGTTGGGAAACAGAACCAGCTTGACCCGCCCTCAAACAGTTAACTGAGTACACACGGTGTGTGCCTGCTGATAGGATCCCGGTTGGTGGCTGTGGGTGCCCAATCAGATCTGAGGACCAGGCTGTGTGGTGGATGAGAGACCCAACTGCTCCAGGAGTGAGCACAACTTGAGTTTAAAGGTGTGCCTCAGCTTTTGGTGATCAGGATAGAACTGATAAAAATAGTTGGTGACCTAGAACACCGTGTATCTTTTTAAATGGAGTTAGCCAGCTTCAATCAGTTGTTTTTAGATACAGACGTTAATCATTAAAGCGGGTTCAGAGCTCCATTGCTAATAAGGTTAATGGGGCTTGGCTTTGGCTTTCAGCAAGGGGCAATGTTTGTGGACACCTTGAAGGAATAGATCTTATTAAACAATGCGTAAGTCGGTTTTCCCTGTATTTAAATCCATTTTATAAAAATATAATTAGCAGAGTAACTTAGGCACCACTTACCTTTAAGTGTGACAACCTTAATTAGAAAATGGTAAGGTTTTATGTGAATACTCCGTTGGAAACTGCTTTTACGCCATCGTGGCTTTGTGTTTTGCCTGCTGTAGTGATTTTCTAATGCTGTGGTGGCCAGGTTTGGCGGTTTAGGGGCCCCTGGAGCCCAGTCTTTGATTGTCAGTATCTGCCCCGCCCCTACTCCCCCCCCCCCCCTCCAATGTTTGTCTCTTCTGGAAAGAGGCGGGGCAGGGGTAGGCAGTGTGGGCGGAGCCCTGTGTGAGCGCCTGCTGTTTGTCTTCCTGACTGAAAGGCGGTTCCCAGGCTACTTCTAAACCTCATGTCATCACTGTGTTTGCTTCCGCCAGAGTATCCTGGCCTGTACAGACCTACGAGCAGAGAGCAGACAGACAGACGTAAGGACAGACAGTAAACGGAGGACGCGCTGGCCGCTGGACCCCGCTGCCTCCCCTTTCTCCCTGCTGCCTGTGTCCAGAGGATGAGCCCAGCCTTCAGGACCATGGACGTGGAGCCCCGCACCAAGGGCGTCCTGCTGGAGCCCTTTGTCCACCAGGTTGGGGGGCACTCGTGCGTTCTCCGATTCAACGAGACAACCCTGTGCAAACCTCTGGTTCCGAGGGAGCATCAGTTCTACGAGACCCTCCCAGCTGAGATGCGCAAATTCACTCCCCAGTACAAAGGTGAGCCCCCAGCTGCCAGAGGGGTGGCCAGGCTGGTGAGATGCAAGGGACTGTGGCAGTGGAAGGCCCTGGCAGCAGTCCTGGGAGCCCTCCCTCCCTCCCATTTACCCTTTTGTTTCCCTTCTCCTCCTCTTCCTGGCCCTCAGCCCAGCACCTCACACCCTCAGTTTTCAAGCCCTGGTAAGATTGCTCAATTGTTTTGTTTTCTGGATTTGCTTTGAGTTTATTTTTGGTGGAAGTATAGTTGTTTTTTATGTTCAGGTGTCTCTTGCTCAAGGTAACCCATAGTCCCCATGTGGGGACAGTTCTGAAGACTTTAGGAGGATTTTACCCAGAGTTCTTGCTGCCTGCTTTTTGTCCTCCAGGAAACCAGAAGCCCTGGTGATTAGGTAGGCTGGGAACAGGGTTGAGTCAGATGGAATGCAGGAGTGGGAGGATTGTGCTGATTAGCTCAAGTCCTTTGCTATTTCGGAATGTCCCCAGAATTGCTGTGTGAAGGCAACCCTTTGATTCACGTGTAGTGACTTTTTTCTCTCTTTTTATACTGATACATTTCAAGGGAACGTCAACCACCAGCATGGTGTGGTCTTTCCTGGGGAGGAGGGGGAACCTTTTGTAAATCAGAAGAGAACTTATTAAGAAATTAATTTTAAATGTGTATTACCAGGTATAAAAAAGGCTATAACAACTTAGATTCTCTTGGGACAATTAAAACATTGTTCTTTAAAGACAGGACAGACTGGGTTAATTCTCTCTACTTGGAAATGCATGTGGTGGGACTGGGGGAGTTGGGGACCCTCACTTGGTCCTTTTCTGTTATTTTTTCCAGGACAAAGCCAAAGTTCCCTTGTTAGCTGGCCACCCCTGCCCCGTTTTTATCCCTTTGGTCCTTCCTTATGCCCACAGGGAAGTGTGGTCCCCTGACACCCCCCTCCCGCTCCTCTGCGCCCAGAGCTGGGGGCCACCTCAGAAGTGTCATCTCTCTCTGAGCACGCATTTCCCTGCAGCAAGCAAGCGGGCGGGCAGCAAGGACTGAGCAGATTGAGTGATCGTGGGGCAGAGAGGCCTAGGAGGTGTTCAGCCAGTCGGCTGTAAGGCGCTCGTCGGCACTGCTGAAATGCTCCCACCTGGCAGCCCCTTCCTCAGAGACTGTCTAATTACACATGGCAGGTCCTAGAGACTCAAAGGGGAGAGCTGCTTTCAAGGCTACCATGTGTCTGTGTTCCCGCCCCTCATCTGCTGTGTTCATTTTGTTCTTTTGTGACACAGAACTACAAAAACCAATAAAAGCATAACTAAGAAGGGCAAAGGCTTGGCTCACCCACCCATGTAGGGTGCTAGAGAAGCCTTGGCCAGGGTGTCTGTGCTGTGTGGTTTGTTTGCTGCTTTCCTTTGCTTTGCTTACCCAGTCTTCCCCACCCTTTGGTGCTTCCACCTGGAGGCACACCTGTGTTCCCTGCACTCAGGCTCTGCTTTAAAGCAAGCCTCCAGGCTGTCGGAGTTTCTGTTTAGGGCATAAAAATTCTCATAAGATACATAGAGCAATGTTTTTGTGTCTCTCTGAGGATTAGAAGAGTTACATAAAAATTAATAAACATTTTCAATGATGGAAAAATGTGTCTTGTAATTCTTTGGCCCTGCCTTCCCTTGTTGAGTGCATTAGAGAGGAAGTCTCTCGGCCATGTTTGCTCCCTAATTGCTTGTCTTGTATGGTGTCACTTTTTTCTAGCTGTTTTGATATTTGTTAGGTTTGCAGATGAGTTTGGGGCCTCTGGCAACATAGAGACTAAGGAACAGGGTAAGAAACAAAACAATGTTACAATCATGTTATCTAGAATGCTTTTTTCTGTGGAAATAAAAGTCCCTTCTGCTCCTCACCCCCTTTCAGGTGTGGTGTCAGTGCGCTTTGAAGAAGATGAAGACAGGAACTTGTGTTTAATAGCATATCCATTAAAGGGGGACCATGGCACTGTGGACATTGTAGACAATTCAGACTGTGAACCAAAAAGTAAGCTGCTAAGATGGACAAACAAAAAACATCATGTCATAGAAACAGAAAAGAGTCCCAAGGATTGGGTGCGCCAGCACCGGAAAGAGGAAAAGATAAAGAGGTGGGTAAAAACTGAGTGCAAGTGTTGGGGCTTGGTTAGAGTCTGGTGCCTTGAAGCCAAGAACTCATAGTGAACCTGTCGGTGACTTGCCGCTGGTTCCACATGTCTGCTGTCTCTGATTGGCTCTGGGTTAGATCATGCCATTTTGCATAAACAGCTGAAGTGGCAGCTATTAAAAAGATTGACTCATTCCTTCCACAATTGCTTTGTCCCTGGCCACAGGCAGACTGGAGCCATTGCTTCACCTCAGGCTTTGCCAATGGTGGGGGCTAAAATGATCAATTAGTCTCTGCAAAAGGGAGGACCCATGTGGGCAGGACTTATAAAAGTATAAAATAAAAATGTGAAGTATGTGTAATGTGGTTAAGTAGATTAACTGATTCCAATACAGTTTCTCTTTCCCCCGGTCTCTGGAATCAGGAGACCCTGTGTACCAGAGGCCAGGAGTCATGTTGCCTGGAAAGGGGGAATGAAGACTGCCTGCCTCATAAGTTGGGGAGAAAAGGCCATGGTTACATCTTGCTATAGAAAATAGTGGTGGGCTGCTCCCTTTTAAAATTTTTAATCAACTTTCTACAAGTAGCTACATGATAAAATGCACCAATTTAAATATTTAATGAGTATGAGTAGACTATATATACTGTAATGACATCAAATAAATATTCATCACTCTAGAAAACTGCTTCATTATTCATATTTAATTTTGATAATACATTATGATTTATTGAATTTTTATTTCTTTACAGTCATAAGTTAGAAGAAGAATTTGAGTGGCTAAAGAAATCTGAAGTCTTATACTACAGTGTAGAAAAAAAGGGAAATATAAGTTCCCAGCTTAAACACTACAACCCTTGGAGCATGAAGTGTCATCAACAACAGTTACAGAGAATGAAGGAGAACGCAAAGCATCGAAACCAGTACAGTATCCTTTGTCGTCAGGCTTTTCTGCCTTGGAAGGAGGGCCTGACAAGGTAGCTTGGGGACTTGGTTGGTTTATGATAGCAGGGTCTCTGTAGAGCCCAGCTGGACTAGAAGACTCTTCTGATCACTGGGATTACTGGTGTCTGCCACTACACCTGCCTGAAGTGTTCTCTTTTGGGGTGTGTGTGTGTGTGTGTGTGTGTTCGCGTGCGCGTGCAAAAAGCGCGCGCAAACGTACCACAGCATATGTGAGGTCAGATGACAACTTGCAGGAGTTGTCATTTCTCTCCTTCCACCAAGCAGGTTCTGAAGATTGAACTCACAGAGCCATCTAATGGGCCTTGTTTGGTTTTGTATTAGAATGGCTAATTTCCATTATTAGAGTTGTGCCTAATCACACAAACCCTGTGTGATAACTGGGTGACTATCTACTCCCTTACGAATAGAACCCGGTCTCAGAGTTCAGTGAGAACAACGGGTCTCTGAGAGCCTCATGAAGAAGCTGTCTTGTTTAGCCTAGGTGGCCAAGAGTGTGGCCCTGTTTTCAGACTCCTGCAGAATGTCTCACAGATTTTAACCTGCACCAGCTGAGGAGAATGATGGGGACTAGTACTGGAATCTGGTTCCCCTCTGTCATACAAAACTGTGCACAAGGAAAGTACCAGGTCCTTTTTGTCTTTCCACTAAACTGTCATTCACTGGCCTTAGATTGTTTGTTTGTTTTTTGCAGTTCTGGGAATCCAACCCAGGGTTAGATTTGGCCAAGGTTGGGGACATACACAGTGTGTCTAGAGGTCGGGGAACAGTTTGCAGGAAGGAGTCTGTTCTCTCCCTCACATGGGTCACCCACTGAACCACCTCACTGCCCACCCCCAGGTCTCTCTTTTTTTTTTTTTTAAATCTTATGGATTGAAATTCCTGAGAGTTTTTTTTAACCTTTAAAAATGAAATTTCTAAGTACTTGTTGCTCAGAATTGGACATTAACCTACTTGAGTCAGTGTCCTGTCATAACTATCTGCATGTACCCAGTGCCCCACAACTGACATTTTTTTAATTATTTTTTGAGATTATTACATCATTTCCCCCTTCCCTTTCCTCCCTCCAAACCCTCTCATATACCCCTCCTTGCTCTCTTTCAAATTCATGGCCTGTTTTTTTTGCATATATGTATAATATATATATATATATAATATATATATTTCTAAATATAACCTGCTATATGTATGTTTTCAGGGCTAACCATTTGGTATTGGACAACCAATTGGTGTGCTCTTCCCTGGGGAAGACTTTCTCCCACTCTCAGCTTTCCTTAGTTGCCTGTAGTTCTTTGTGGAGCATTGAGGCCTTGTGGGCTTTCCCTTGTCCACTTTAATATGTCCAGGGTTGTTGTCCTTGTTGAGCTCACGTTTGACAGTCATGTTGGTGAGACTTTATGGGTGTGGCTTCTCATACTCCTGGGAGACAATCTCACACCGAAATCCCTGATCCTCAGGCTCTTAAGCTCTTCCTCATCTGCAGTGTTCCCTGAGACCGAGGGGCAGGAGTTGTTTGTAAATGTATCCAGGGACTGGGCTCCACAACTCTGCATTTTGATAGGTTGTAGTTTTCAAAGAGAAGCTTCCTGGATGAGTAAGGGCTACAGTTACCAGACCAAGCCCTGGAGAAGGTGGCAACTGACTTCTCTTTTCTTTTTAGGTACTGGGCCTTGTGCAGGCTAAACAAACCTCCTTACCACTGAGTTAATTTAGGTCACCTATCCTTGTTTAAACAGTTTTGTGTTTTTCCCTGATTTTGATTCTGAAACAAGTCTGAGATACATCATTTAATCTGTTTATATCTTATCATGTATCCATAAAAGGAAAAAATCCTTTAGCACAAGGACCAGTTTGATTCCCAGCATCCGCGTAACAACAGCTGCACACACCTGTGATCCCAGCAGTGGGAGGGAGAAACAGGAGGATCCCTGGAGCTCATTAACCAGCCACTCTAGCTGAGTCGTTAAAGTACCCTGTCTCAGACAGAAAAAATGTGGCAAGTGATTGAGAAGGACAACAGGGTCAGCTTCTCTCCACATGTGCATGCAGGAACATCTGCATACATCCACAAAATACTTTTTAAAAGATTTATTTATTTATTGTGTACACAGGCCAGAAAAGGGCACCAGATCTCATTACAGGTGATTGTGAGCCACCATGTGGTTGCTGGGAATTGAACTCAGGACCTCTGGAAAAGCAGTCGGTGCTCTTAACCACTGAGCCATCTCTCCAGCCCCCACAAAATATTTTTTAAGATAAGGATGTTTTGGGGTTGGGGATTTAGCTCAGTGGTAGAGCGCTTGCCTAGCGAGCACAAGGCCCTGGGTTCGATCCTCAGCTCCAAAAAAAAAAAAAAAAAAAAAAGATAAGGGTGTTTTAAAACAATACCATTGTACTTCTCAAAAATAGACAATAATTCTTGTCTATAAAATCCTGTTTCGCTGGATTTGGTAGCCCACACCTTTAATCCCAGCACTTGGGAGACAGAGGCAGGTAGATCTCTAAGTTTGAGGCCAGCCTGGTCTACAGAGTAAGTTCCAGGACAGCCAGAGCTATACAGAGAAACTCTGTCTACAAAAAACAAACAGAAAAAAGAAAATATCTATTTCATGTTCTTATTTTCCGAATTGTCTCACTAAATGTGTTTTTATTGTTGGTCTGTTTGAGGGAAGGTCTGTATAAAGGTCATGTATAACTTTGTATCGAAGTGTTTGGGACTTTTAAAATATTACTCCCATTTTGTTTTTTTTTTCTTCTTGGGAGATTTCTTGTCAGAACAAATAAATAAGGATCAGCGCTAGGGAGATGTCTCTGGTTTAGATAGGACTTGTTCTGCAAGCATGAAGACCAGGGTTTGAATCCCAATACCCACAGAAGATCTAAGCATGACAGCTTCGGTCTGTAACCCCATTGATGTAGGACAGAGACAGGAAGACCTCTGGAACTTGCTGGTCAGCTGGTCTAGCCAGATGGTAAACTTCAGGTTCAGTGAAGAAACCTGTCTCAAAATAGGTTTGGGAAGTGATAGAGCAAGGTACCAATATCTGGATTTCTTCTGCACTAATACATGCATGTGCACACTAGAAAGAACATGGAGTTTCCCGTGATCTGGATTTTACTTAGTACATCCCTTTGGTATCTTTTTCATATGACCCTCTCCTCTCTTTCCAGTAAGTTGATAATTGGATCTAAAGGCTTGATCAGATGCAGGTTCCGTTCTCCAGGGGCTACGAGCACAAATCCTTGAGAAATGGTATTGTCCATTGGGAAACATGGTATTTAGCTTTATTTCTCAGTCATCATTGTTTTAGGGCCACCTTTTTCATTAGATGATTTCCTAATTTTGTTAGTCATTAGCTGGAATTTTACAAAGACTAATCTTGAGGTGCAGTTGGAAAGATATTAAATGCTCATTTTGCTTTATTTACTAGATGTTTGGAATAATGAATAAGTGGATCCTAATCCTCCAGAGGTGTCCATCATAGTGTGATTTTAGCATCATCTTGAATGCATGAGTTAAGCATATTGGATGTATTTTCATCAGTTGAAGGATGTTTTAGGCTTTGTGGTACCAGGGATCAAGCCCAGGGCCTTGTGAATTCTAGGCAAGCGCTTTCTCACTGAGCCAGATCTCCACGCCCTACAGCTGTTCTCTTGACTGATAACCTAAATAGCCCGAGTTTTAATTGTTGTCTTCCTTTCTGATTTGGAAAAGATAGTCTAGGAGATGACCATGTATATTTCTTGTCCTGGATGTTAGCTTAAACCTTTTTGTTTGTTTTGAAACCATTTCTCTATGTATCCCTGGCTGTCCTAGTACTCCAGAAGTGAGTAAAGGACTACATAGTGAATATTTCAGGTTTTGTGGGCCATACAATCTATTGTCACAATTCTGCCACTGTAGCAACATCCATAGATGTTAGTATAAGTGAATTAGTGTGGCTATGTTTTATTAAACATTGAAATTTATTGTAACCAAACCTCTTCTTTTAAAGATATCTTTGTGTATGGTATGTGTACTTGTTTGTGTATGAGGGTAAGCATATGCCGGGCACGCATGTGAGGACTGGAGAGCGTCCTCGGGTGTCCTCACCTTCTACCGTATTTGAGGCAGTGCTCATTAGCACGTCTCTGTCTCTTCCCCAGGCTCTTCAGTCCTAGAACTTCGGGAAGTTGTTCTGTCATCACCCCACCTCCCACCTTAGGAATGGTGGGTTGTAGACATATGCAGCCAGATCAGTTTTCACAGGGGTTCTGGGGGCCACACATAGCTCATGAGAATTGCATGACAAACGAGCCTTTTTCCCAGCCTTGACCATCTTTTCCCTAGGTCATAACATGCTGTATATTTTGATATGATTTGATATTTTGATAAAGTATTGTATTAAAAAATGTAAAACCTAGGGGTTAGGGTTGCCTAGCAAGTGTAAGGCCCTTCGGTCCTCAGCTCTGAGGGGAAGAAAAAAAAAAAAAGGTAAAACCTAGCCGGGTAGTGGTAGCACACGCCTTTAATCCCAGCACTTGGGAGAGTTCGAGGCCAGCCTGGTCTACAAAGTGAGTTCCAGGACAGCCAGGACTGTTACACAGGGAAACCCTGTCTTGGAAAAAAAGAAAAAGTAAAACCTGAGCTAGAAAGATGGCTCAGTGATTAAAAGCTCACAGACCACTAATTGAATTCCCAGCATCCAGCTCAGGTGGCTCATTACCACTTGTAACTCCCAGCTCTGGGAATCTGTGTCACCCTCTTTTGGTGTGTACTCACATGCACAGTCCAGTACAGGCACACAGAGATGCACAGACTTGGTATATGTGTCTCTGGCTGGGGGCCCTATGTGTAGAGTCTAGACACTGGCTATTGTTATTTATGGTAGTTCCCTGGCAAGTCAAGGGTACCCCTGAGATCTCTCCTCAGCTCTGACCTCCCTCTGTGGAAGAGAGTATAGCTAATGAATGGAGTGTCTGTGAGCTTAGGCATCTTTTGTCATTATGTGCAGACACTTCCTTCTGGGGTATTGTCCTTAACTACTCAGAATTTATCTTACTGGAGAACCTAACTTCCCGCTACGAGGTGCCTTGTGTCCTGGACCTCAAGATGGGCACACGCCAGCATGGCGATGATGCTTCGGAGGAGAAAGCAGCCAACCAGATCCGAAAGTGTCAGCAGAGCACATCTGCAGTCATTGGTGTGCGTGTGTGTGGCATGCAGGTGAGGAGAGTGCTCATACTAAACAAGGGCTATTAGGGTATCCAATGGCTGTCACTTCACTGTGGCGTAGAACTCTGAAATGCTCTGAAGAGTTCCAAAGAGTTCTCCTTTGGAAATTTAAAACTCCTCCTACTCAGTTTTTTCTACTTTCCTTTAATAAATACATCCATTCTGATTTATTTAAAGTAACAACAAACAGATTCGGTAGGGATACATCTCAGCTGGTAGAATGTGCACCTAACACATACGAGGCTGTGGGTTTAGTACCCAGTACCAAAAACAAAGCAGATTTGAGTGAACTTAAGATACAGCTCGCCGGGCGGTGGTGGCGCACGCCTTTAATCCCAGCACTCGGGAGGCAGAGCCAGGCGGATCTCTTTGAGTTCGAGGCCAGCCTGGTCTACCAAGTGAGTTCCAGGAAAGGCGCAAAGCTACTCAGAGAAACCCTGTCTCGAAAAAAAAAAAAAAAAAAAAAAGATACAGCTCAATGGTAGAGTGTTTGCCTTGCATACACAAGGCCCTGGATTTGATCTCCAGCATAGACACACATACACACAGTTTGTTTTTTTTCTTTTTAAATCTAGATTTGGTCTTACCTGAGTCTATTGCTTTCTGGTTAAAAAAGAAAGTATGTATTCCTAGTTGAGCCCTCTGAGACTAGTCTGGCTGGCTGAGTCCATATGTATGTGTCCATATACTAGAATGCAAAGTTAAGCCATCTCTGTTGAGATCTAGTTGCAGAATAGGGGCCTTGAATACAGTGACTGAACCTAGGTGACAGGGCATATTCTGGGTGGGTGCCGAGCAAAGACAGGCCCTCCTGTGTGACTGATGTACTCAGGTACAAGATCTCATCAGTCATATCACCCTCATTCACTCAGTGTCGAAGTCTTGAAATGCCTTTTGACCCTGACTTGCTGATCTCTCCCACAGGTGTACCAGGCAGGCACTGGGCAGCTCATGTTCATGAACAAGTACCATGGGCGGAAGCTTTCGGTGCAGGGCTTCAAGGAGGCACTTTTCCAGTTCTTCCACAATGGGCGGTACCTTCGCCGTGAGCTCCTGGGCCCTGTTCTCAAGAAGCTAACTGAGCTCAAGGCTGTGTTGGAACGACAGGAATCCTACCGCTTCTATTCAAGTTCCCTACTGGTCATTTACGATGGTAAAGAGTGGCCAGAAGTGACCCTGGACTCAGATGCTGAGGACTTGGAAGACCTTTCTGAAGAGTCAGCTGATGAGTCTGCCGGTGCCTATGCCTACAAACCCATTGGTGCCAGCTCAGTTGATGTGCGCATGATCGACTTCGCACATACCACCTGCAGGCTGTATGGCGAGGACAGTGTGGTACATGAGGGCCAGGATGCTGGCTATATCTTTGGGCTCCAGAGCCTGATAGACATTGTCACAGAGATAAGTGAGGAGAGTGGGGAGTGAGCTTGCTAGCTATTCCAGTACCTGAGAGACTCTCTGTGTCCCCCCCTACAGCTGTGCTGTCGGGGAGGAGGCCAGTATGGCCAGGTGGTGGCCTCTGCAGCCTGGAGCTGATAGACGGTGGCCTCTGTGCCCCCCCCCCCACCCCAGCCTGAGCCAGCCCCAGCCGTGCTCAGAGTCTTTTATTTATTTTAACTATTTCTTCAACATTCCACATTTGATGATGCAGATACCTCTTTCTTCCCTGAGTGTAAATGTTCTAATACAGACCTTTTTGTTTATTGTATACAGTGATGCTGTCATTCTTTCTAAGCATGCATACTCCCTCCCCATCTGCAGAAGCTTCATGTGTTGTGACCTCCCAGTCCCTGTACCCACTCTGTAGATTGCATTGAAGCTTCACAATGGCTTGGCTTTGTCTAGAGTGTCCCAGTTTAGCACCTTGCAATCACCAAAACCAGTTATACTTACTTAGGTCACTGTGGTTTATGCTGGCTGGGTCTCTACCACCCTTGTACAAAAAATACAATTGGCATAGGTTTTCCCACGGTCCCACACAGCTTAAGAAGTTGGACAACAGGCGCTTCAATACTTGGGTCCTTGATTTCTGTGTTGGCAGCAAGTAATTAATTGGCTGGACATAGTAATCTCAGATACCCTGGACCCCATGCTGGGGTCTCAAGTAGCCACTGGTCTCTGGTCTATTGGGAGCCATGAGCCCAGGTGGAGGACATGTAGTTTTGGACAGGGTGGTTTTGGCTTGAACACCTGCCACGGCTCCTCCTCAGCAGCCCCATGGTCATTCCAGTCTTGTCTTCACAAAGACTTGCCAGCACTGCCCCAAAGAGCTCCTACCTTGTGCCTGGAGAGCTTCTGGAAGCGGGGAGGGAGAAAGGGGGGTCAAAAATCGGCAGAAACATTTGGTACGGAGAAGCCAGGATCTGGATGTCAAATGCTTGTCTCAGCTGAACTTTCTGACGGCTTTTAAGTCCCCCTGGGCCTACCTCTACTATATCTAAAAACAGATTAGTGAAGGCTAGGTGTGGCAGAGGCAGTGGGATTGCTCTTAGTTTCAGGTTGCATAGTGAGACCCTGTCTAAAAACCAAAACAAAAAACCAAAAAAGGCCTGGTGTCGTGGCACATACCCTTAGTCCCAATACTTGGGAGGCAAAGGCGGGTGGATCACCGTGAATTCGAGGCCAGCCTGGTCTACATAGTTACAGAAATAAAATTAAAAACAAAAAGCTTTAAGTTTGATGGTGTATACATCCGGTGCCCCCTAGGGTCAGGCTTTCAGTGGAGACCCTTGATGTCTTCTTCACCTGGGACTCTGGCATGGCAAGGATTTCAAAGACTGAGAGGTCTGGGCTGAAGATCAAGGATGATTTTTCTTTTTTTCTTTGAAACAGGGTCTTACTATGAAGCCCAGGCTGATCTTTCTCCAGCCTCTGCCTCCTGCATGTTCTCCAAACCCCATGAATTCAATCCCTCCCCTATTAGCCTTCTGCTCCTCACCCCTTCTTTTTCCAGAAGGGCCATTTGTGAGGTTGGGGCAGGAGGACAGGGTTACATAACTACTGCCTTTAAAAAATGGGAGATACACACACACACACACACACACACAGAGAGAGGGGAGAGAGAGAAAGAGAGAGAGAGAGAGAGAAGTGAATATGACCTCAAGGTCATAGACTGAGTCCTTTGTGACGACAAAACAGTGACAGAAGTTGGAGCATGGTCCAGAAGGGAGCGCTCAAGCAGAGAGAACAGGAGCAAAGACTCAGGATAGAAAGGACGGAAGCCAGTGGCTGAAGAGTGCGGGTGTGCTGGGAAGCAAAGATGCATTTCGGAAAGTACACACTTGCCCACCACCTCAGTGACAGAGAAGAAACTTGGTGCTAAGGCACTGTGAGGCCTAGACTCGCTAAGAAGACGTCTTCCCGCGAAGGACTTCCAGATGTCTGATCAGTATTCTTCAAAGCAAAGCGCCACATCCCCATCTCCGGGGACGCACCGGCTGCAAGCCCTGTGCGCCTTCCTCAGGAGGTGGGAAGAAAAGCAATGCTCTCACCGGAGAAGGGAAAGGAGGAGGAAGGCCAGCAAGAGCGAGCTAGGACCAGGAATTACCTGACTTGAGTCTGAGGTCTGAGGGCCTAAGAGACTCTGGAGCACCACCCCGCCCTGCCGAACCTCTCAGGGCCGCCAGGGGGCGCGGCGCTTCAGTGCTGGAGCCGACTCGCTCCCGGGGCGGGGCTCCGGCAGTCGCGCATGCGCACGCGTGGCGTGTCACGGGGCGGGGCGGGGCGAGCGCAGCGCGGCGCGGCTCTCCGGGCCTGGCTTCCCGGCACCGCAACCTCCGTCTCGTACCGAGTACCGGCGCGGCCCGGTCAGGCCCCATGTACCGCGCGCTGTATGCGTTCCGCTCGGCGGAGCCCAACGCCATGGCGTTCGCTGCGGGCGAGACCTTCCTGGTGTTGGAGCGCAGCAGCACGCACTGGTGGTTAGCCGCACGGGCGCGCAGTGGCGAGACGGGGTACGTGCCGCCTGCCTACCTGCATCGTCTGCAGGTGAGTGTGTCCCTCCCTGCCAGGCCTCTCGACCGAACCCCTTCACCGGTACGCAGAACCGATCCAGGAAGCTCAGCTAGCTTCTTCAGGACTTCTACCAGACAGGGAGTTGGAGAATCTGACCTTAAGTCCCAAGAGCCTTAAGGACTGAGACCCCAGGGGCCATCAGTACCCATCAAAGACTAGGCCTATGACATCTAATCGCAGGCCTATAAAAAGCTGAATCCTGGGACTGGCGCTCCAGGCTCCCCTGTGTCCAGAATCAGAGCCTTCATATAAATAGAATTCCTTAGCTGGACCCAGAGACTCCAGTCCATTACCCAAGTCCCTAAGATCCCAAGTCCTTATTATTCCTCTTTACTAAGTCCCTAGGATTCCACACTCTTGCTCCCTCCCCGCACCATTTGGAGCCTCCACCTTTACCATAAAGACCACCATGCCCTCCACTGACACTGTATCATCTCATACACCACCTGTTTCCCCAACCACCCTCCAGGTTCTCAGCCCCAACCCCGACCCACACACTTGGACCCCCAAGTCATAGGCATTCCCATCCCTTATTCGACACTCAATTCCTGTAATATCTCTGTATTCTGAACTCAGCCATCTTTCAGTCTCTACCCAAGGACTATTCCCCGAACCCTTTTGGAACCAAGGCCCCTGTCCCCTGCTGACAATGCTCCCTGGTACTGCCTCTACTTCCTCCAAGCCTCCAGTCTTGACTTCTTGGCTTTTCTTTCCTCTGAAATCTGGGGAGCTCCATCCTGGAATGGGAGCTGTGAGGAAGGGAGGCCTCCTGCATGGCTTCCCCTGTTCTGAAGATGGCCTGGTTTCCTTCCAGCGGAGGCTGTGGCTCCAGTTCCTGTTTCCTCAGGAGTAGTCCTGCTGCAGTTCTCCAGTGAATCTGTCCTGACTGTGGGAAGAAGGAGAGCCCCAAGCAGCCTGGCTTGTGCCAGACTCCTCCTGCCCTGGTCCCTAGCTATGGAAACATCCTGTCCAGGCCCAGTTAAGGACAGGAATAATGTGCTAAAGTTGGAAATGTTGTCTGGTCTTACCAAAGGGGAGGTTCTAGGGGCTTCCTCATGAACCCTTAGTCTCCACTTATCTAGAGGTGAGAGACACAAGGTCAGTTGGATCTAAAATATGTCACACCCAGCTCAGCCTTTTGAGCACTGGGGTCTCATTGGAGACTTCTAGGGGAAGTCCTCCCCCTTCCTCAGAGCCTGTGGATCCCCTGCTTCAGTCAGGCCAGTGGCTGGGAATTTGGGACGGAATGGTCTCTGCTCATCTCTGTCTCATTTTTACTCTACTGGCGTTTATCTTTCTTCCTTAGCCTTTCCCATTCTGCTGTGGAGCTGAGTCTTCCTGCTCTGTCTCTCACTGCCTGTGTCTGGGGCCTTCTCTCTCCACATCTGTCATATTATCTGTGTATACACGCGTTTTACTCTTTCTGTCCGCCCTCCACCACTGTACCCCTTATGCCATATGAAGGACTTTGCTGACCCCTGTATCCATCTGACCCCATCAGAGAAGCTTCATAAACTCACTCTGGAACTAAGCATGATGGCTTACGCCCACAGTCTCAGCATTTGGAAGGATTACTGGGAGTTCCTGTCCAGCTTCGGCCGCCACCCAGCCCACCAAAACACCTGAACTCCACCCTGGAGTGTGTTCACTTCGGCTCTGGGGTTCCTACGGAGCCTGGGGGGCCATGCATCCTGGGCAGCCCCACAGCTAACACACACCTCCCTCCACGCCAGACAGTGGAGTCGAACGGATCCTGGGTTACAGAGGATGACAGCATAGGCCAGGAACCAGGCCCGTCGTCCAGGTCCCTTAGTTACCACAAGCACAAAGGGGCTTCCCAGAGGGGTTCTGAAAAGCTATTAGAACAGCTTAGGAGGACGAAAGGGAAGGTCATTTTGACCCATTCTTACCTCCCAGTTGTCTGGAAGGGCTTTGTGGGGATGAAGCTGTTTTGGAGTTTGACCTTGGTTTTGTGAAGGATCAGTAGCATCCAGAGTGACTGATTAAGGATTCTAGACACTGGAGTCTTCCTTTTGGCATTTCACTCTGGGCTCCGAGCCAAGCCCAAGGGTAGGCTAGGTGTACATGCCTGGTCCCAATCTGAGATTTCTGTGGTTTCACTCCAGACCTATAGTTTTCAGAAATGCCTTTGCCAAGCGTTTTCTATATGAGCTAAAATCCTGAGGGGTCCCTGAATGTAAAGAACCATCACAGAGACCCACCCCCCACCCCACCCCCACCCCCCCCCCCGTGCCCCTGCTTCCTGAGTGATGCTGTTTGAGTACTTCATTCCAGATTCCATTTTGACTGTCTGCTAGTATCCAGAATTCTAGGCTTCAGCTATAGTGAGTCCTCTACCTAGTTCCAGCCTGGGCTGGGGCTGGGCTGATCGACCCCACTTGGCCCCCAGGTCTAACTGCCCACCTACCTTTAGGGCATGGAGCAAGATGTCCTCCAAGCAATTGACCGGGCCATTGAGGCTGTGCACAACACAGCCATGCGGGAAGGTGGCAAGTACAGCCTGGAGCAGCGTGGAGTCCTGCAGTGAGTGTCTGGGAGGGGCAGGTACCACTTCCCTTGAATGTGGCGGTGGATGGGCTCCTTCATAGGGCCAGAGATACTGTAGGGGCAGTACTAGGGTTAGTATGAGGTACCACGGGATGGAATAGAAAGATGGAAGTGTGAGGGGCCTGTACTGTGAGGGCCCAGCATCCCACAGGTACCAAGTGAGGACTTTGGGAGTAGGGAGGAGCCTCCCCGCCATGGTATGTCTGTGTCTCTGTCAGGAAGCTGATCTATCACCGGAAAGAAACATTGTCTCGAAGGGGTCCCTCAGCCTCCAGTGCTTCAGTTATGACCTCATCCACCAGTGACCACCATTTGGATGCTGCTGTATCTAGGCAGCCCAATGGGGTGTGTCGAGCTGGGTTTGAACGGCAGCACAGCCTGCCCAGTTCTGAGCATCTTGGGACGGATGGAGCCCTCTACCAGGTATGGAGTGAGGGTATCTTTTTAGAAGGAGGGTGTGGGACTAAGGCTTTATCCGGAGACTCAAGGGGTCTACTTGGGCCACAGGGGCAGCCAGCAGCCTGTCCTCCCCCAATCCCACTTGTGTTCTCAGGTCCCACCACAGCCTCGCCGAGCAGCACCTGCCACCCCCCCCCCACCAGTGAAGCGCCGAGATCGCGAGGCCCTGGTGATCTCAGGGAGCGGTGAGAGGGCCAGGCTGGGATAACTGGGGCGGGAGTCTGCTCTGCTTGGAGGGGCTGCTCTGCTCACGGTAGACAGATGGCAGTTCTGAACTGGGGGAGAATCTACTGTCCCCGTGTTCAGGCAGTTGGGGGCTCTAGGCTTGGTGAGGAGATAGGGCCTAGCAGAGGGGGGTCCTGTACTAGGGTCAGGGTCTTTGAGCAAGGAAGCATGGGGCCCCCCAATGGGTTGCCCCAGCATAGCATTTGCTTTCTACTCACAGGTGGCCGCACCTCAATACCCTCTGGGGGTAGTTCTATGTCCAGTGGCTCATCAGTCAGCAGCACCTCCATGGACACACTCTGTACTGCTTCCAGCCCCTCTGAGCTGGGTCCCAGCTGCTCACCCACACCCCCACCTGTACCTCGCCGAGGTGCCCACACCACTGTGTCCCAGGTCCAGCCCTCTCCCTCCAAGGCACCATCCCCTGAGCCCCCTGTAGAGGAGGTGGCAGCCGATACAAACTCTGCCCCTGACGACCTGGAAGCGCTGGATGCACTGAGCCTGGAGACCACAGAGGAGAAGCCAGCTGCTGAGAGAGTCGTGCCAAGGACCATTGGGGCAGAGCTGATGGAGCTCGTGCGGAGAAACACCGGCCTGAGTCATGAATTATGTCGTGTGGCCATCGGTGTCGTGGTGGGCCACATACAGGCCTCCGTACCAGCCAGCTCACCCGTCATGGAGCAGGTCCTCCTCTCGCTGGTGGAGGGCAAGGTGAGGGCGGGCAGCATGGCCACGGAGCCTCCCACCCTCAGCCAGCCTGCTAGTCCCACCCCGCTCCTGCCCGCACGCGTTCGTTCAGGCTGTCGGTGACAGGTATTTGTTCAACACCAAGCCTGGTTCTTGGCTTTTGTTGCGCTGGGTCATTTGAGTTGACCCATGACAGAGAAAGGAAGAACATTCTAGACAGAGACTCGGCCCGGACAAGGACCAAGGGGCAGGACAGAGCATGGCTCACAGGAAGGAGGAATTGGAAGACGATGGCCGGCATGGCTGGATCGCAGGTGGTGTGGGAGCAGGTGGGCCTGAGGCAGGTGGTCAGACCAGGATGAGTGGGAACAGGGCAAGCTCCCCGCCACTGGGAGGGGTTTCCCCACTATCTGCTGGGGCTCCTCTGCCTCTGGATTCTGAGTTCAGGGAAAGAATCGACACAGGACGTAGGTGAGAGCAATACCTTGCCAGCTTTGGAAGTGTACGGGAAAGGGTGCTTGGTGAGCTAGCTGCTAACTTGGATGGTAGTGAGTGAGATGCGGGCATTTCAAGATAGCTATGGTCCCTTGTCAAAATTAGGACACTGGTGCTGGGTGTGGTGTCACACGCCTTTAATCCCAGCACTCAAGAGGCAGAGACAGGCGGATCTCTTGAGTTTGATGCCAGCTTGGTCTACAGAGTGAGTTCCAGGACAGCCAGGGCTACACAGAGAAACCCTGTCTTGGAGGTTACTGGTCAGGAGAAGGAATTGGGGTGGTGAGTGCTGACTACCTGATGGGGTTTGGATGAACCAAAGGTATTTCCTTAGGCTCCACCTGTAGTTTTGGTTGGAGTGAGTAGAGGGCAGTAGGCCAGTGATATGTATGCCTGGGCATAGCAGCTGGCGTCCCGTGTAGAACGGAAATGAGGACTCTGAGTCACACTCAGGGAGGGACAGAGTCAATGCCTGCCTCATGGGAGCTACTCATCCAGGTCTAGGGTGAGAGGACGTTAGAGATTCCCACAGCTGTGTCTTAAGCAGGACTCTTGTACCAGGAGGTCGAGACTGGAGTTGCCCTGCCCAGTGTGGATTTTGTGGGACCTCAGCTCAGAGATAGCCTTAGGGGCCCAGGCCTTGGAGGCTTCCTGGAGCTGGTGATGTGCAGGGATCTTACTGAGCCACGCTTTACCCTGTTCCCCCAGGACCTGAGCACAGCCCTACCTTCAGGACAGATCTGCCACGACCAGCAGAGACTCGAGGTGATCTTTGCAGACCTAGCTCGAAGAAAGGACGACGCCCAGCAGCGCAGCTGGGCGCTGTATGAGGACGAGGATGTCATCCGCTGCTATTTGGAAGAACTATTGCATATCCTGGTATGGGGTAGGGACCATCCATCTTTAATGTTCAGGTATCTTCTGCCCACACATGTTCATCTCACACTGAGTGACTCTTACTCTTTCTCTTCTCTACAGACTGATGCAGACCCTGAAGTTTGCAAAAAAATGTGCAAAAGGAATGAGTTTGAGTCTGTCCTGGCCTTGGTGGCCTATTACCAAATGGTACGTATGAGACCAGGGAGTGGGCACAGAGGAATGTGGGCAGGAGTCAGGGCACTGAGCACGTGGGTTCTTCCTTCAGGAACACCGAGCGTCGCTGCGGCTGCTGCTCCTCAAATGCTTCGGTGCCATGTGCAGCCTAGATGCAGCGATCATCTCCACACTTGTATCATCCGTGCTGCCTGTGGAATTGGCACGAGACATGCAGACCGACACACAGGGTGAGGTGGGGTGGGGGCCGCTCCCTGCCCCTCGGAGAGTGTTCCCACCATCTGCCGGGGATGCCTGGCACCCTGGGGATTGCTGACTGCCTACCTTACCCTCCTAGACCACCAGAAGCTCTGCTACTCGGCTCTCGTCCTGGCCATGGTCTTCTCCATGGGAGAGGCAGTGCCCTATGCACACTATGGTGAGTATGCAGATTGCCAGTGAGTTGGAGACAGGCCCCAGAGGTAGGACCCATGCAGAGCCCAAGGGCCTGGAGACCTGCTGACTACAGCCTGACAAGGAGAGGGTGTTCCCAAGGCTCACAGAAAGTCAAGGAGGCTGGATTGTGTGGCGAGGAAGAGTTGAGTCTGTAGATTCTTTATGTTCCTCTTTCAGAACACCTGGGCACACCCTTTGCCCAGTTTCTGCTAAGCATCGTTGAGGACGGCCTTCCACTGGACACCGCAGAGCAGCTGCCAGACCTCTGCATGAATCTGCTTCTGGCTCTGAATCTGCACCTGACAGGTGGGGTGAGCCCGTCGGGAGGGCGGCTGACCCAGGTGGGGCTTTGTGGGCTCTGTACTACACATTCACCTATGTTCATCCATGTCTTTCCTCAGCTCCTGACCAGAACGTCATCATGGCTGCCTTGAGCAAACACACCAATGTTAAGATCTTCTCCGAGAAGCTGCTTTTGCTTCTGAACAGAGGGGGTGAGAGCCTAGAAGTCTGCATGGGTGTCACTCCGATGCCCTGTGACTCCATCACCTCCCCTGCTTTGACTTCTCTAATCCTCCGGGATGACTCTGGGACCCCAACACGGACCCCCTTGACTCCTGTGACCTTGCCTTCTAGATGATCCTGTGCGTATCTTCAAACATGAGCCGCAGCCACCACACTCTGTCCTCAAGTTCCTGCAGGATGTCTTCAGCAGCCCTGCCACTGCTTCCATCTTCTACCACACAGACATGATGGCACTTATTGACATCACTGTGCGGCAGATTGCGGACCTGTCACCTGGAGACAAGGTGCCCGGAGGTTGCTGCAGTGGGGATGGATGGGAGCTGAGTGACATCGTAACCAAAGTGGAGTGACTGTGACATTAGTGGAGGTGAGGGGGCAGGGAGTGTGGAAGGCCACTCGGAAGCCAGGACAGCTGTGTCAGAACCCACGGCAGCCTTCTGTGTGGCAGTCTGGAGCAGGATGTCTGAAGAGATTCGGGGTGGAAAGATGCAGATGACGCAGTGGTTTTTACAGAGCCTTTGAGGCTGTAGCCGTGGCTTGAGATTGCTTCTCAGAACCAGAAGTAACTCACTGCCTTCCTATGTGTGGGCTGATTGGGAGCCAGGAAGCCTGAGGCAGGATTGGGTGGGGAAACAGGACTGGTTTGGGCTGTGCTGGAGGTGGGCCTGCAGGGCTTGCTCCTGGATTGGTGTTGAGCAGCTGGGTGGATGGAGTGCCGGTGATTGATGGCGAGAGTTGTGTTTTGAGTGGGTTAAGACTGAAGACAAGGACTGGGGATAGTTCAGGTGATAGAGTTTGCTTTGCATACATGAGTCCCTGGCTTCAGTCCCCAAAACTGAAAACGATAAATAACCTGTTTAGGAGATAACTGCAAGATACTCAGGTGCCAGAGCATCAGGGAGGCAGTGGATGAGTTGGGACTAGAGACATACTGGAGTAGTCTGTTCAGAAATACAACAGAGAGCCTGTGATAGGGTGTGGTCACCTAGGATATTAGATAGATGGAGTCAGCAGGAAACTTGGACCTTAGCTGTGACACAGCAGGGTTCAATGAAGGAGAAACCCAGGAACAAAACCTGGTGAGTGAGAGCAATCCACAGACCATGTGTTTGGAGTGGGGAGAAGATGGAGCGGAGAGTTAGCCTTTGCATCTGCCGTGTGGACACCAATGGTGACTGGCACGCAGAGCCAGTGCAGTGGAGGGTCGAGTCTGAACGGAAAGTGTGAGAAATTATTAATTTACTGGGGGAGTGGAAATGAGGAAGAACTTGGAAGCAGTCAGTGAAGGTCACCAATTTTCTGTACAGGGAAACAGAAAAAAAGTGGAGACAGGTGCTTAAAGGAGACCACTATGGGATCGGGGAGGGTCTTTAAAAGTGGAGGTGCTGGTACGTGCCCTGACCTAGGGGGGATTCTCCAGTAAGCATAGAGAAATGGGCCACGTGTTGGAGAGAATGGACCACTGCAAGAGATGAGCAGATGAGGCAGGGGACAGGCAGTGGTGGGCTCTGCTGTTCTTTCTAGTGAAGACAGGTGGATTGTGGGTGCTGAGAGCAGAAGACAAGGGGGTTTAGAAAGCACGAGATCACCTAAGGTTTGAGAGAGAAAATGGACAGCAGGACAAGGAGAACAGACACAGCAGAGAAAGTCAGGATTGGATACAGGGGAATCGGGACACATGCATTCGGGCCTGAACTTTTGGATCAAAGCAATGTTTCTGTCCTAGAGTAAAGAACATGGGAAGCCTTTCACCCTGGGGATGTTGGGGGAAGATGATGGGTTTGGTGGAAGGCGTGTGGATTTGAGGCGTCTGAGATATGCAGGAGATGACAAGCAAGCAACTGGATATTCTTGTTGGGCACTCACAGGACAGATGTGCGTGAGATGTATGTGTGAGAGTGGATTACTGTTGAAGTTGTGGGTGTAATTAAGATCTTCTGGGGCAAGAGACAGAGCGAGAAGCCAAGGATTCTGACTGACATGCATGGTATCTAGGGGACCTAGCACCAAAGGACTGGCAGGACTTTCCAGGGCAGCCATATTCTGGAACTCTGTGGCTGGAGTGATTCATTTATTCACTATTCAGCAGCTCTAAGAGCCATTTAGTGTTGACTGCATTCTAGGTCCTAGAGATGCAGTTCTGGTATTCAAGAAGTACAAGCTGGTTTGTTGTCCTAGAGCCCATGGGGCAGTAATGGCCAGTCCCTCTCTGAGGGTGATTGCAGTACTTCTCTGGGGGTCTCTGAGCCCATCTGCTCTTCCCACAGCTGCGCATGGAGTACCTCTCCCTGATGCATGCTGTGGTTCGCTCCACACCCTACCTGCAGCACCGCCATCGGCTGTCAGACCTGCAGGCTACGCTGCGGCGCATCCTGGCCGAGGAAGAGGCCTCACCCCAGTGCCAGATGGATCGCATGATTGTCCAGGAGATGTACAAGGAGTTCCCAGAACTGGGAGAGGTCCCCAGCTAGCACTTCTCTTTTCTCCCTTCTCTGCAGCCCTGGTCAGGGTGCAGGGAACTCAGGGGCTTTGCTCTAAGAATGTTTTGCACAGACATTATGAGGGGATAAAAAACTAGAAGGGACCGGAGCCGGGCCCCTTACCTGAAGTAGAGTCAGTGTAAGGGGCCAAGTGTAGGATTGGGGACCACAGTCTGGGAACTATATTGGGGCAGAGGAAATGTGCAAGCTGAAGACCCTCTGTTTGCTGATAGGCTGCCTCTTCAGCATGCCACCCAATCCCCCATACCCATGTGCATACCCAAAGTCCTGCTGCTGCTCCAGGCTGGGCCACCGCCATCCCTACCCACTGCCTGGTCTGAGTCTTGAGCCTCAGTAAGCCATGTCCTTAGGGTGAGGGGAGGCACCTCCCGCCAGCTCTGTTCTTTGCCTTAGCTTTGCAGTGAGTGTTGCTCATGTGCAGCCCTTACCCCGTTAGGGACTGCTGTCCCCCGGACCCCTACTTTCAACCCCAGAGGCCTTGGCTAGGCTGCTGCCTTGAAAGCGGGATCTTTGAGACAGGCCATTCATCCTGGAACCTCATGGAACAGGATGATGGTGCTCAGAAAGCCAATGACAGAATCTATTTTCTCTGGGAAAAAAAAAAAAAAAAAAAAAAGTAGACCGAAAGCCATGTGTATTTTCCTATGTGCTACAGCTCTCCTTCAGAAATAAATTCCAGGCATCAGGAATCGGGCTTCCCTGTATGATCCTGGGGGCGGGGGGCGGTGTGAGTGGGGCAGATGGGCCTCAGGACCTCACTGCTTCAGCTTATACTGACATCTGCAGTCCAAAGAAGTGATGGGCCTTGACAAGACTGGCCTCTGTAGTCCTAAGGGTCCTATCCAGCCTTCTATGGCCCAGTCAACCAAGTGACCCTGGGACACACTTGTAGGTATCTATCTCTTGAGTTTCATTTATATCTTTTTGCTGGCCATGGTGGTGCACACCTTTAATTCTAGCACTTGGGAGGCAGAAGCAGATGGATACCCACAATCAGCCTAGTTTACATAGTTCCAGGCCAGCCAGGGCTACATAGTGAGATCTTGTCTCACCAGAAATGAAAAATAAAGTTATCTAGTCCTGCACAGTTACAGCTCTTCTCTGTTCCTCCCTTCTCTTTCCTTCTCCATCTCCTTCCCTCTCATGCTGGGGACTGAACCCAGGGCCTCACACATGCTCCTGCATAGTCAGTCTCAAGTGGAGCAGGCCCTTCTCCCAGCTCGCTCTCCCTGAGCATGCTGGCCTTGATTAGCATTATTTCTCTTGTTATTTTTGGTCCACCATGATTCTCTGATCATGATCTCTTCTCAGAGATCTTCTCATTTTTGTATTCTGAAGGACTATGTTAACCAGACTGGGGTTAAGGGTGCGTTCCTGCATTATTAGAGGCTGGAGATTGACAAAAACCTCATTCTCTTTCAGGTCAACATGGTGGCTCTCACTCAAAGTGGGGGGAGCAGGGAGTGAGGGCCCTCAGAGTCTGGTTCTTCAGGTCTTTCTTACCTGACTGAGGTCCCTATTCCTCACACAGATCCACACACCCAGAATCATAACAGGCTGCTGAAGGCAGGGGCTGGAGAAAAGACTCAGTAAAGTTCTTGCCACCTCAGCATAGAAGACTGAGTTTGCATTCCCAGTACCCGTGTAAAAAGCCGGGTGTGGAGACATGTACTTGAGTTTGATCCCTAGGGCCCACATGGCAGAGAACCAACTCCTGCAAGCTGTCCTCCGCATGTGTGCTGTGCTATGTTCCGGTGTATGCTCACATACACAAAATAATAAAATGTAATTAGAAAAATGGAAGGTGGAGAGATGGCTCAGCGGTTAAAACGTGAAGAGCACCTGCATTCTTGGGGAGGATCCCAGTCCTATTCCAGCACCCACATCAGGAGGCTTACAACCCGGCAATAGCTCCTCCAGCTCCAGGGGATTCAGTGCCCTCTTCTGGCCTTTTCAGGCACTGCACAAACTCACAATACCTACGCATACACACAAGATTAAAAATAAAAAAAATCTTTTCCTTAAATAGAGGGGCTGGGGAGGTGGCTCAGCGGTTAGGAGCACTGACTGCTCTGGAAGAAGGCTCAGGTTTGGTTCCCAACACCTACGAAGTGGCTCACAATTATCTGTAACTCCACTTCCAGGGCATCTGGTGCCCTGTTCTGACCTCTGCAGGCACCAGACACAAATGTAGTGGACATACATTCATGCAAACAAAACATTCATATACATTTTTAAACGTAAATAAAAATTTAAAGGGGCAGAGCTATAGAGAAAAACATGTTACCACCCTCCAGCCTTCACACACAATACATGCAGCAGACAGAGCTCCCTCAGCTCAGCGTAGGGCCTCAACCGTTGCTCATGAAAGTGAGGCAGGAGCATTTCAAAGGAAACCTATGGGGTAGAGGGAATCTCGGTGATCTTCCAGGCAGTGTCCCTCCTTAGCCACTGGCTCTATCAGATTGCTAAGCTCACAGGCTTCTGGTGGAGGGACACAGCCTACTCACAGCACGTCCAGAGTTAATGATACTGGTTTCCAGCCATGACTTTTCACTGGAGTGCTACAGGCAGGAAGTCATTGTTCTCAGGAGACAACATAATTCAGTGAAAAGCAGAGGGTTCCCGGGAAGCTGAAACAGGAACGTCAGACATCATCTGCCATTTGCTTTGCCCTGCCAGGATGTACACACAGACCTTGTGGGAAGAGCTGGCTGTTCTGTCCTCTGTCCTAGGGCTGGCTCCTAGATAAACAATGTAAGCTCCAAGAAGCCCACACCCACGTTGGCAGGACTGTCCAACGGGCCCTGCACATGTCTGTAAGAGATGCAGAAGTCCTAGCCAACAGTTATATAAATACTGGGTCATGTTCCCAAACATTCTGGGGGAGGGGCAGGACTCCAAAACCCCTTCAGCAAACACCCTGATGATGGATGATCTCACAACATAGAATTTAAGCCATAAAGGTCGATTGTGGTGAACTAAAAGATTCCTCTCAGGAAGGGAAGCCTGACCACACCTCTCCAGCTGCTTGGAAGAATAGATGTGGGATGTGGCTAGGAGGGAGAAGGATCGAGGAACAGAAAGCACATTCCCTGCCAATAAAGGGCAGTGTTTGGATGGGCTGGAGAAGCAGAAGGGACAGTAGGAATCTGTGGGCTGGGCATTGCTTTGACCAGAAATGGCACCTAAACTGGGTGCCTAAAGGTCTGGTCCATGTGGGAGATGCAATGGACCCTAAGCTACTCAAACACAGCTTGTGAAGGGTGGAGAGCTCAGCTCAGTTCTCAAAAGACACTAACTGAGGCTACAATGAGGAGAAATCTTTTTTTTTCTTTTAATCTGTTTGTCTGTGTTGTGTTGTGTATGTATGAGCACATATGTGCAGATGCATGTTCAGGTGGAGGCCCAAGGCCAATGGGCATCTTTCCCCAATAGCTCTTCACCTTATTCATTAAAACAGAGTCTGTCAATCAAACCCAGAGCTCAGTAATATAGCTAGTCTGATTAGCTTAGACGCTTTAAGGATATCCAGCCTGCCCTCTGAGCTGGAGAATTATGAGCAGCACCACACCCATCTAATATTCATGTGGGTGCTGGAGATCCAAACTCTGGTCCTCACATTTACATGGCAAGTGGTTTAGCTGCTGGGCCATCACCCCAGCTGTTCCCCCTTTAATGGAAGGATAACACACCATGAAAAGTTCTGTATTCAAAGAGCATGAGTTACCAGGTGTGGTGACACATGCCTTTAATCCCAGCACCAGGGAGGCAGAGGCAGGTGGATCTCTGAGTTAACGGCCACCTAGTCTACAGAGCAAGTTCCAGGACAGCCAGGGCCACACAAAGAAAACTTATCTTGAAACAACAACAACAAAAAGAGATTTGGAAGGACGAGAAGGGGGAAAGAAAAGAGAATGGAAGAAGTAGATGGGTAAGAACTAGAGAGGGATGAACTGGGATGGCCAAGAACTATATTGAAGGGCTAGAAGAGAGTACTGGACGAATGAGATGGAAGATGCTTTTGTTTGTTTGTTTGTTTGTTTGTTTGTTTGTTTGTTTGTTTGTTTGATACAGGATCTCTCTGTGTAGTCTTGGCTGTCCTAGAACTTACTCTTGTAGACCATGCTGGCCTCAAACGCACAGAGATCCAACTGCCTTTGCCTCTAGAGTGCTGGAATTAAAAGCAAGCACCACTACCTCCCAGGTACCCAAAACTTTTCTACCAATGTAAATTCTAGCAGTATCTGTGAGTTCTAATGCTTCCTGTCTTCCCCAAAACTTGGTATGGCTGGGGATGTACTCATATAACATGCACAAGGGTCTGGATTCTATATGTAGCACAAACACATAGAGAACCAACTTCCTATTGTCATTTTTATCCTCATCATTCTGATACAATTTACTTTTTTTTTCATTTGTGTTTCCCTGATGACTAAAGACATTAAGCACCTTTTCATTAGTTTACTGGCTAGTCAATTATTTTCAGCTGTAATGTTAATAATTCAAATCTCTTATCCATATATCTATTGATTTGTGAATCTTTTATTGACTTATATATGTATTCAACATATGAGTCCTTAGATTTTATACTTACAGTAAAGTCTATCTATCTATCTATCTATCTATCTATCTATCTATCAATCATCTATCCATCCATCCATCCATCCATCCATCCATCCATCCATTCATCCATCCATCAATCCATCAAGATCTTGTTATGGTGTCTCAACTTGAATAACTTTTCTATCTCAGCCTTCAAAGAGGCAGAGTCTGTAAGATCCCAGGGCTACAGTGGGTTGGTTACTATTCCTTTATTGTTGCTATTGTTGCTGTTGTTGGAACAGGGTCTCCCTCTCTAGCCCTGGCCAGCAAATAGCATCCTCCCATCTGAGCCCCAGTGCTTGGATTACAGGCATGTGTCACTCCTGACTGACTCCCTGCGTTTTTGTCTTTTTCTTTCCTTCTTCTTTCTTTCTTTCTCTCTTTCTCTCTTTCTTTCTTTCTTTCTTTCTTTCTTTCTTTCTTTCTTTCTTTCTTTCTTTCTTTCTTTCTTTCTTCTTTTTTTCTCTTCGAGACAGGGTCTCTCTGTGTAGTTTTGGTGCCTGTCTTGGATCTCGCTCTGTAGACCAGGCTGGCCTCGAACTCAGAGATCCTCCTGGCTCTGCCTCCTGAGTGCTGGGATTAAAGGCGTGCGCCACCGTTGCCCAGCCTGCTCCCTTATTATTGCCATTTAATAATAAGAATTGGTTAATTGTTACGTATTCCAGTTTGTTGAGGTTTTCATTTGTTTAGTGCAACTATTAAATAACCTTACTTTAAACCTGGGTGGTGGTGACACACGTCTTTAATCCCAGCACTCAGGAGGCAAAGGCAGGTGGATCTCCAAGTTTGAGGCCAGCCTGGTCTACATAACGAGTTCCAGGACAGCCAGGGCTATACAGGGAAACTCTGTCTCAAAAAACAAAACAAGAAAACAAAAAACAACCCCCCCAAAAAAAACAAACCAAGCCAGGAGTGGTAATACAAGCCTTAATCCAAGCACTCCCAGGCATATCTCTGTGAACTGAGGCCAGCCTGCTCTATACAACAAGTTCCAATCCAACCAAGGCTACAGTGAAACTTTTCTCAAAACAAAACAAACAAACAAACAAAAAACAAATAAACAAGGGCTGAAGAGATAGCTCAACAGTTAAGAGCACTGGCTGCTCTTCTGGAAGATCTGGGTTCAAATCCCAGCACCCACATGGTGGCTAACAATGGCCTATAACTCCAGTCTCAAGGTAGCTGACATCTTCTTCTGGCCTCAGTGAGTACCAGGCACACATGTGGTACGCAAACATATATGCAAGCAGAACACTCATACACATAAAATAAAAATAAATCTAAAAAAATTCCAGTTCACATGTTTATACCCCTCCCTAGATTTTTGTTTTTTTTTTTTTTTTTTTTTGATTTTTCGAGACAGGGTTTCTCTGTGTAGCTTTGCGCCTTTCCTGGAACTCGCTTTGGAGACCAGGCTGGCCTCGAACTCACAGAGATCCGCCTGGCTCTGCCTCCCGAGTGCTGGGATTAAAGGCGTGCGCCACCA